GGGTCTCCCCGCCTTTCGAGGCCGGGCTGCAGGAAGCCAGTTGCAGCACAGGGAAGGGAACTTGGCCCAGTTGGGTTGAGTTCCTTTCCCCAGCCCAATGGTAGCACTGGGGAGGGGAACTGAGCTATCGGATTAAGTTCCCTTCCCCAGCTCCCTGATCACAGGCGGCAGCAACACCTGGCTTTCCTCCCTCATCTGGCAGGCAGATCAAGGGCCTGCAGCCCCAGGAGGACTGGCACAGCCCTCCCAGAATTGCGGACCCCCATCTGCCTGCCAGGTGAGAGGCTGTTTTAAGCTTCCCTATTACAGTGAATGGGCAAAACAGTCAAAACAGTGTCACTGCTTTGACGAAGCAAAATGGCACACCAGTTTCAAATTGAAATGAAATTCGAAATGAAACACTGTTCCATCAGAACCTTGAAACTGAAGTCGAAACAGCACCGTTCCGTTTCTCACAGTGCTAGTAATCAGAGCATGCAACACTGCAGCTGTTTACTTGTACTCTTGTCTAAGGAAATCAGGATTTGGATAATGTGTGTTCCTCTTCCATTTCCTAGTTTATATGTATTACTTCGATAATCCTGGTGGTATGATTCCGTCATGGCTTGTCAACTGGGCAGCCAAGGTAAGAAGAAAGCTGTGGGAAGTCTCTTTTTTTTTTTTTTTTTTGTGGCCAAGTAGTTTTTCCCCTGAAGGTCTACACCTGGGATCCAAATATGCTTTCACTAGAGTAGTCTAAGAAAAAACCTAATCCACGTGAACATTTGTGACTGAAAACAGGAATATTTTCGTGCCAACAGCTTTTCTTGTACCATGCCTCCTTTCCTGATGCATGGCAAGCCGGATATAATTTCTCAAACTCTTAATGTTAATACCTGTGTTCAAGTTTAGGGTAATTGCTTATTAGGACAAGTTCCATTACAATGGCTATTCCTAGGATGCAGGTCTCTATGTACTGCGATTATAGAAATGCAGATTAGAAGAGGAGAGTTGCTTCAATTTTTAAAATGTTCCTATGGCACAGCAGGAGGTTTTTTGGAGTGCTTCCCTAATATCAGTTCCCAGCCCAAAATAACTATTTTGGAAACTGGCAAAAAAAACCTTGTGCTCCAAAGATGGAGTATTAAACAGTCAGGGGGAAGGGAGAGGAAGGAAACTCTTTTCTGCACCCCCTCCACCACCTTGATATTGGCATTGCTATCTAGTCTGTGTTACTGTGTTCAAATGTAGCTACATAATTTCCAGACAATTTGGGGTCAGTGGAAGAGTTCACAAGTGAGGAATCTTCATAGGTCTCTGGCTAATGGCTGCAGACTAGGAGGAAAGATTTAAAAGATCATGCCCCAGTAAATTAGTTCAATAGGTTATTGGCCTGTTAAGGAGCTACATTATGTGATAGGTTTTTGGATGGACCTGCTGAA